CTCTCTCTCGATAATGTCCCGATAGCGTTCGTGTGTCACATACCAACATTCATCTTATGCTCTCTCTCTCTCTCTCTCTCTCTCTCTCTCTCTCTATCTCTCTCTCTCTCTCTCTCTCTCTCTCTCTCTCTCTCTCTCTCTCTCTCTCATGTCCCCATAGCGTTTTTGTGTCCCATACCAATGTTAATTGTGCCGCGCTCTGAACAACACGAAATCGCGAGCTAGTTCAAACAACAACAAATCTCTCTCTCTCTCTCTCTCTCTCTCTCTCTCTCTCTCTCTCTCTCTCTCTCTCTCTCTCTCTCTCTCTCTCTAGTCTCAAGCGTTGGCAGGTGCAAGGCGAAGCGGCAGCAAGCAGCACGAGCGGGCGCTAGCTAGTTGAAAGCACGCCGCGCAAGTTCCTAGCACGACAGAGACAGCGAGCGGGTTCGATGCCCAATGAGAATCTGCAATGCGCCGACTCCTTTTCAAAGAGTGATGAACGTGACATTTCAAAATTTTGTCAACAAGACCCGACTGACTCAAGGGATGATCAATTGCGTCATTGTGTATATGGACGATATCTTGGTCTACTCAGAGTCCTTCCACGGGCACGCACAACATATCGAGTGGACACTGGGAGCCTTAAGCGACGTCGGATTCAAGATTGCGCTGGAAAAAAGTGAGTTCTTTCTTTCTGAGATCTCATTCATGGGCTACATGGTAACTCGGGGAGGATTAAGGCCCGATTCGAGAAAAGTTGCGGCCGTTCGAGACGCCCCGACTCCCACGTCGCTGACGCAAGTTCGAGCTTTCCTGGGGCTGGCCTCGTACTATCGTCGATTTATCAAGGGTTTCGCCACTATCGCACGGCCCCTAACGAACTTGCTGCGAAAGGACCAACCCCTCAGCTGGAACGCGGAGTGGGAACGGGCCTTCGGCGCTTTAAAGGAAGCCCTAGCTACGGCGCCTATTTTGATTCAACCGGACCAGGCAAAGCAATTTATACTCATCACAGATTGGCAGCCTGAGGCAATCTCCGCTATCCTAGCGCAGCAGGGGAACGACGGCTGCGAACACGTCATCGAGTACGCGTCCCGTACTGTACCAGACGAAAGGAAGAACGATTCGACTTTGCAAGGAGAATGCTATGCAGTGATTTGGGGAATTCAACACTTCCATCCGTATTTGTACGGACATAAGTTTCTCCTCATCACGGACCACGAGCCCCTATTGGCTCTCAAGAGGCTCACTAATTACATGGGCATGATTGGACACTGGGTGGTACAGCTGCAAGAGTACGATTTCGACATCGTCCATCAAAAGACGGAGAGGTACGGGAACGCGGACGGATTGACACTACTACACCCCCCAACAAAGGTGGCTACAGGCGAGGAGATTACTCCGTTGAGAGAACCGGAACCAGTCAGCGGGCCACGGTACGGACAGGTGGCAGTCCTTCATCGCAACAAGAAGTAGCACGTGGCGATGGGTGACGGAGGTAACTCTGGGGCTCCCCTTTCTCCTGTCTCATCTTCGTCTTTTCCCTCCTATTTTTGCGAGGCCATTTCGAGAGTCTATTTGGTCCCTATACGACCAAGCGGGGAAGGCTATGCCGAGTGAGTAGAATGTCAGCGATGTGTGTCCCGAGCCCATGGCTCCTGTATACAGTACCAGAATGCAGACAAACCTTGGTTATGTCCTCTGTGTCGCACGGATAAGATCCCGACGGAGGCTCGATTCCTCGAAGCCACATCCGAGGGACTAAAAAAGACCCGACGGTTTAGAAGGGCCGAAGTGTGGAGAAATATCGTCTTGATAGCTACGGTAGTTGGGAACCCCCTCCGAGACTTCACAAGGGAGGATCGGAGACGGGTCAATGAGAGAGCTCGGAATTACCGGTGGAATGAGGGACGGTTAGAAAAACGGAAAACAGACGGGAGCAAAATTTGGATGTCTGTCCCGCATCCGTTCGTAAGATATGACTGGGTTAAGTCAACCCACGAGAAAACTGCGGCCCATTTCGCTGTCCGAATCACGGAGGCAGCGATTGATAAAAATGAGTGGTATTGGTCCAACATTCGCGACGATGTTAAGTTCATCGTTCGAAATTGCCAGGTCTACGCTGCTGACAAGGCGCCGATTCAGCCGCCTAGGTCGATAGTGGTATTAGTGCCTACCGTAGTCAAACGGCCATTCTAGAGGGTTAGTATGGATATCACCGATATTGTCGTGCCCCCTGGACCAAATAGCTGTGAGTATTCCATTCTGTTGGTATTCGTAGACCACTTTTTGAAATGGATCGAGGCGTATCCTTGTAAGACGTGACAGGCGGTCGAAATCGCGCAATAGTACGTCAATCGTTCTCTCGGGATGCACCAGGACACCGAGGAGATCCTGACGGACAATGAGGCAGAATTTAGAGGGGAAGTCTTGAGGAATCTAGTCTTACACGGTGTCTCTATCCGTAATACTGCTCCCCACATGTCGCAATCCAACGGACTAGTGGAGAACGTCAATCGAGTGATTAAGACCGCTTTGTGACGCAACATCGTGGCAAACGACCCGAGGCCTTGGCCCGATATCGTGGACCATATCCTGGCTATCCACTGGGGGACACCCCACGAATCCACGGGTCTGACCCCCTTCCAGTTACAGACCAATAGCCTACCCTGTGTAGCCTTACCAATCCTAAATGATGAGACGGTCCTTCCGCGATGGACTACTAGGGCGACGGTTAAGGACAAGGCCCAACGCCACCTAGAACTGATGGAAAGGGTCCTCCCCCGACTGGCCCGAAAAACACAACGAATGACAGAAATAACCCATGGGAGGCAGGTCCGAAGTTATGAGGTCCGGAATGGTAACGCTCGGCCTCGGCCCCAGTATAAATTAGGGGACATCGTGCAGGTGAGGAAATGTGCTCGCCAAGGCAAGCTAGCACCACGATTCTTCGAGCGATTTCGCGTGGTTGAGCTCGGTCCCAGTGGGGTGAACATCGTACGGCTTGCGCCGGAGGTGTCGGGAAGTCGATCGGCTCGCCCGATCATTCGACATGTGTCCTACCTTCCTCCTCTCCCCTCTCCCCCTTCTCCTCCATCATCTGCATCTTCCCTCGGTCAGAAAGAGGACGACGACTCTCTAGAACCCTCTTTTCTCTCCCCATCACCGTCTTCGACCCCGCCTATATCGCCATGAGCTTTTCGACGGAGCAGGTGATCAGCGAGCGTCTGATGGTGCCCGGAGGACCCTTCTCGGCGATCCGACAAGTACAGCATCCTCGGTTGAGTCCCGATCTTCTCTGATTCGCGGCCTTCTTCAGTACAGCGGCCATCCACGCGGCGGCGAAATTCCAATTCGGACAGTCTGGGGTGGCACGAGTGTTGGCTGAGTTTTCAGCCTTTTTGCGCCTATCCCCACCTGGCGAGAGCCACGTGTCGGTCATTGTCGTCTTTACAGGCGACATTACGACACTCCACCCAGCACGGTATCATACTGCCGTCCTTCGACAACTGCGGGACTGGGCATCACACCTTACGACCGAGTGGGTGCAACTATTGGCTCGACTGCGAGATCGCGCCGTAACGACGAACGACATCGATCTTCAGCTTCGTGTCTCCTCCACCATGCCAGAGGTCGCCCTTCCTGTGCTTCATCCCTTCGCTCGGCCTCAATGAACCATCATCGTCTTTCTACCTTCAGCCTCCCCTCTGATGTTCCCACGTTTTGGCAATCTGTCGAGGAAGCGTCTCTGTCCTTCACAATCAAACAATTGGATGTGCCGATTCTGGACGCGGTCAAGTGGACACGGTGGTGGCAAGCCTACGTGTCGCTCAGTTTTTGCCTCCTCGAGGTCGCCTCCCATTGGGCGGAACCAGCAGACAGGAGTGTGGAGGACGAGATCCCGGACGACGAGGTGGAGTTACTGCTCATCCAGGGTTGGAGAACGGATACGGAGGGATATTTTCTGAAAATCTTATTCGGAGAAGTGCGAGACGGCCATCCGAGCTCCATTACGGACGAGCTGCCGGTGCTTTTAACCCAAGTGCTGGACGATCTGCCATTGGAGATCCTCTCACATTATGACGAGAGGCCGGGGACAGCCACGCTCGCTCGTACCCTGGAGTCGCACCTTCTTTGGTCCACCTGTATGGAATTGGAGGAGGGTAGCTACTACTTACCCTCGATAGGTGCATACCTGAGCGTCGACGTCACTGATCTCTCCACGTGGGACCCACTCATCCGACGCGTTCCTATAGGAGAAACCAGCGAGGAAGCCGAAGAAGAGGAGGAAGAGGAAACCGAGGAGGGCGGTCACCTTCAGTATACGGAAGGAGAGATGACGCTAGAAGAGGAGGAATCGGGGGCTGAATCAGACGATCTCGATTATCAAAATCGGAGGACGCCAGGTCGGAAGAGGCCAGTTCGGGGCAGGCGGAGTCGGAGGAAGAAGAAGGTGGATCGGGTGAGTCGAGTGGTCCCGACGAATTGAGCAGAGAAGAAAGAGAGGTCGTGGCGCAGAGGAAACGGGCAGCAGCAGAAGGAAAACGGTCGATCGAAGAATCAGGAGGGTCACCATTGCAACTGTTGCAGGGCGATCCGGCGCGCAATCCAGAACCTCCGCGGGAAGAAGACGAAAGAGATGGAGGCGCCACCGCAGAGGGATAGGGAAACCGACGCCGCCGAAGAAGTGAATCGCTCTCCTAATCCTCCCCAGTTCGACCCGCAGCCCTTTGTTTACGTCGAGATGCGAGCACTCGGGCTTCGTCCCCGGTCGTTATCCCGTCGTCCCCTTGACTTCCTCACCCTCCGACAGCTCCCAAGACGACCCCCGTTCCCCGATGGGTGGCAATCCGTTCCCACTCTCCCTCTTCTATCATCGATACTCCACCCGGCGCCTTCTGGTCACCATCTTCCCGCACGCTACTACTCGCTCGCTCGTCACTTCCTTCCCCCTCCACGTCCTTCTATTTAGCGTGGATTGGCAGGAGTATAATAATATAGAGGTTTATTGCATCATCGCGGGCACGATTGCCGCGTGCGAGGAGTATGACGATTTCCGCGCTGCCATCCGCCGCACCCTTTGCACCCTCTACCCTGACTACCTCGCCTCTCTCCCCCATCGACGTCGGCACCCTTGCTTTCCCCACATCCATCATTCCATTCATTACGTCTCACTCTCCTCTTGTGACGAGGAAATTTACCGCTTCGTGCCTCCTCTCCCCCAAGTCTATCCACCATCTCCCCCACCCGTAATTAGATTACCTTTCCTGGGCAACGTTTTGAATTGAGCACACGCATGCCACGTTGGATGACTTCCACACTCAGATCCTACGGTAAGTGGCACGTGTCGGCTCCGCGTCGATCATCGGACAACCGATCGGCGCCTAATGAGAGAGCAAGCAGAAACTTGCTCAAGATTGGAACCCCCTGGGCATTACATATGTGATGAACCATTTTCTGTAATCGCGCGACTTTCTGCGCGAAGCTGCCTTGGGGAAATGGATGGGTCGGATGGATGAGCTGTGGAAAGATGGGTTTGTCGGGCAAAATTGCATGGATGCCCTCGTTTCTTTTGTTTTATATGGAACTATGTCGGGTCGGTGTCGGGAAAGTCCCGCGTCAACGATTGGGTAACCGCGCCTTAACGAGTGCGATGGCCAACGGTTGTCATGGCTTCTTTCTTGTTCTGGTGTGAGCACTAGGAAATTTTGGCGCGATCATCTCGAGGGAATATCGTTTTTTTTTTTTTTTGAATTTTCAACTGATGTCGAGCTTCCACGGGCTCGCGGAATTGTTTTGGGGCTCTTCAAAATTTCCTTTTGCAATTAGACTTAGGCTAGGAATTTAGGTAGCTGAATTTTGTTGCGTCGCGCTTGCTCACATCTTGCTGCGCTGGGAATTGGGCTCTGACTGGATCGCGCCCTTAATCTTGTGCAATTGTCGCTTTTGGCGGGCGGGATTGTAACTCTATCTTTCTTCTTTCTTGATTTCTTCGTGTTTGTCCGCCTTCTTCTCCTTTGTCTTGCATGCTTAATGCTCCGTTCTAATTGGCCTGAATGCCTGCATGACCAGATCGATGCGTGGAGGGCGGCTGCAACCCCCACGCCGCAGCCTGCCCATGCAGACGTAGGTACTTCCTCTCTTCTCCTTCTGACCACTTGGGCTTAATCCCGTATCCTTCACGCAAGCATGCATGCTATAAATTTCGCAAGCACGATTAGTTTACTCTATATGAACCTTGAAGTTAGTGCGATCGGTGAGGGTCGGCTAACGAGTCAACTGGAAGAGGTGAATTGACGAGAGAGTTGGGCGATCCGACAAGCTGGTGTTGGGTATGCGGGGTTGACGTGCGGCCGCGACGGACTGTGGCGCACGGGCGAACCTGGCTTGCATGCTCGAACCAAGCGGGGTGACAACTCTGTGTTGGTGCGCAGCGACGAACTGCCCACATTGGGGAGTGTAGCGAGAGAGAGAAAGAGAGAGAGAAGTTGTGTGTGGGATGAGGTGTCTTCTTCCATTTCTCGAATACTATAAAGGAAGAAGCGGGTCTCACGTGACGGGCCCAACAGAAACCGGGCGCCGCCGTGAGGGCCCGCTCCGAGGCAGTGGGGTGAGGGGGAACCGGTGGCGCGTCGGTGTCGGCATAGCGAAAGCCGACCCGTCGGTCCGTGAGGCGGGATTGGGGCGTTGTGGGCCTGCGTGGCGGCATTTGGTGGTGGGCGGATGCGGGGCTGAGTGCAGTGCGGTGCGGTGCGTGGGCCTGTGTTTGTTTTTTTTTTGCCCGTCGCGCGGGCGTTGGGGACCAAACTACGTTATCGGAGCGTTGCTTTGCGGGGATCAACGGTG